GAAGCCACCGAGCCAAGGTGCGGCTGGTGATCCAAGGGTTTCGCGATCCAGACGCCATCGCGGGGACCCTGGCCAAGTCTTCATCGACGATGACGAGATTGAGCAGGACGTTCATCGTGCTCCTGAGTCGCATCCATGGTTGGATTCTGTTCACGGCGGACGTGAGCACCGCATTCCTGCAGGGCAAGCGCTCGGATCGTGGCATCTCTGTACTCCTGCCATCCGAGGCCTGCAAGATGCTCGGGTACCAACCTGGAACACGGATGAAGTTGCTCAAGAGCATGTGCGGCTTGAGCGACGCGCCGAGACTTTGGTGGGAGGAGGCCACAGACCGCATGATCGGGCGCGGCTTCGTGGTTCACCCGCTGGACCCCTGCCTGTTCCTGAGCTACCGGCTGGACGAGACGAACGTGAAGGTGTTCGACGGCGCTATCGGCCTACATGTGGACGACATGCTAGGAGGCGGCAGCAACCAGGAGGGTCAGGCGTGCTTTTCGGCGCGCGTCCAGGAGCTCAAGAAGGTTTTCAACTTCCGGACGTGGGAGGACACCGAGACTGGCACTTTGAACGTGGCCGGGGACTCGTCCATGGATTTCTGCGGCAACCAGCTCACCAAGGCTACAAACTGAGATTATCAGATGAGCTGCGAGACATACATCAAGGGACTCAAGCCGATCACGATGACCAAGAGCAGGGCCAGCGACCACAAGTTGGCCATCACAGAGGGCGAGCGACGACAACTACGAGGAATTATGGGCAGCTTGGCGTGGCCCAGCAACCAGGCGGCACCCCACTTGCAGTGCAGCGTGAGCCTCGGACAAGGTACGATCAACGAGAGCTCCACCGTGCAGGACTTAGTGGAGGCCAACAAGACGCTGAGGTTCGCCAAGGCCAACAGCGACGTGTGCCAGTTGTTCCCCAAGATATGCGACGACCCCAACGAGGTGGCGTTCATTTGTATGACGGACGCAGCATGGGCAGTACGACGTGATGGAAGCTCGCAGGGAGGCTACCTCATCCTGGCAGCGCACAGGAGTGTGCTGAGCGGCGAGACGGTCAAGTACACCGTGGTCGACTGGCGATCGTGGAAACTACCAAGGGTGAGCAGGTCCTCGTTGGCGAGTGAAGCCCAAGCTGCAGCAGGAGGAGTGGACGCACTCGAGTATGTGAAGGTGCACTACAGCCTGATGCTCGACCCGACGAGGGACCCGAGGCTCAACGGCACCATGACGGTGCTGGGCAGGAGTGCATTGGTGGTGGACGCCAAGGCGCTGTATGACGCGGCCCAGAAGCCACACGTGCACAACTTCGACGACAAGCGGACGGGCATCGAGGTGCAGGTGCTCGAAGAGCGTATGACGGCAAGCGCTACGGTCTGGTACTGGGTCAGCTCGGAGCGCCAGTTCGCGGACGGCTTCACCAAGCTGTCGGCGCGACAGCTACTGGCAGACAGGTTGCGCACTGGGACGATCAGCCTGAAGTCCGATGAGAAGTTCCAGGCAGCCAAGAAGAAGACCGGCAAGGACCGACAGGAGGAAGCCAAGAGGTTCGCCACACCAAGACCGAAGGCAAGCACAATGACGGCGATGGCGACCATGGCATCCCTCACGACAGCAGCCAGCAGCGAGGTGGAGATCTACGACGCAAGGGCGACGGCAGTGATGGAGCTCGAGTGGACCATGTCACCGCAAGTGGTGATCAAGATCCCCCTCGGCACGTTCATCAAAGGAATCGCGACGACCATCCTGATGATCGTGGGCCTATTCACAGTATGCTGCATGACGCACAACAAATGGTCCGAGAAGGAGACGAACACGACCCATCCAGAGCCAAAACCTGAGCATGCAGAAGGAAAGACAAAACACAAGCGTGAGCAGAAGGTGAAGATCAGCAGTGTCAAGTGGAACGTTGGAGTTCAAGGGCCCGTGCATTATTCATCTGTGGGCCAGACCGACGGAGTTCACGGACGATATGTTCATGCTACGCAGGGTTTCTCCCGAGGCTGGGAAGTGACGAAAGAGATAGTGAAATCCCGTGCTGGCCTGAAGGGCCAAAGTGAGTGAGCCCCGGCAACACACGTTTTGCATCCTGTTCTTGTCTCTAAGTCCCCCCCCCCCCCCCTCGCAATGAAGCCATTTGTTTTGAGAGGTTGATTGCGACGATCGACCGGCGCATTTCTCTCGGGCGTGTGTTTACAGCAGGCAATGTAACGACGAGCAGCTGCGAAGGATTTTCTTCCATGAGATAAAGGTGAGTGTTTAATCAGTTTTCTTTCCCTTTTCACCAGTGTGAATTGTACTCCATACAATGCAGTTGCGAGTGTATTTCAGAGGTTTTCTGACATAAGATGTTAGATACTACCCTCCCCAGCAGGCATGGCAGAGCATGGGTACAGCACGCAGTGCAGAGCAGCAGTCATGACAGCAAGCACCATTGCCTTCTTTAGCTCGAGAGGCCTCTCGGCAGACCAAAAGGGTTACCATCGCTTCTCCCCGCCCGCAGAGCGAGATCGGGGATAGTGTCGAGGACGCTTCAGCCGAGGACGGGAAACGGATTTCGAGAGAGGGTTTGACGACTTCGAGAGCGTCGAGCAGTTGACACCTCCTCCTCCTCCTCCTCCTCCTCTTCCTCCTCCTCTCCTCCCTCCTCCTCCCTCCTCCTCATCCTCCTCCTCCTTTCCGCCTCCTCCTCCTCTTCCTCCTCCTCCTTCTCCTCCTCCTCCTCCCTCGCGTCCTCGTCGTTTTCCTCCTCTCCTTCTCTTATTTTTCCTCCTCCTTCTCCTCTCCCGTCCTCGTCCTTCTCCTTTCTCTCCTCCTCAGTTTCCTCTTTCTCCTCCTTTTTCTCCTCCTCATCCCTCTCGTCCTCCCTCCTCCTCCTCCTCCTCCTCCATTTCCTCTCCCTCCTCCTCCTCCGTCTCCTCCCCCTCCTCCTCCTCCCCTTCCTTCTCCTTCTCCTTCCTCCTCCTTTTCTTCCTCCTCCTCCTTCTTCTTCTCATCCTTCTCCTTCTCCTCCTCCTCCTTTCTACCTCCCTTCCTCCGTCTCCTCCTCCTCCTCCTCTTCCCCCTCCTCCTCCTCCTCCTCCTCTCTCCTCCTCCTCCTTCTCCTCTTCTATGTGTCCTCCTCCTTTTGATCCTCCTCCTCCTCCTCCTTCTCCTCCTCCTCCTCCTCATCATCATCCCCCCCCTCCTCCTCCTCCCCTCCTCCTCCTCCTCCTCCTCCTCCTCCTCCTCCTCCTCCCTCCTCTCCTCCTCCTCCTCCTCCTCCTCCTCCTCCCTCCCTCGCCCCCGTTCCTCCTCTCCTCCTCCTCCTCCTCCTCCTCTCCTCCTCCCCTCCTCCTCGTCCTCCTCCTCTCTTCCTCGTCCTCCTCCTCCTTTTTCTCCTCCTCCTCCTGCTCCTCCTCCTCCCTCTTCTCCCCCTCCTCCTCTTCTTCTTCCTCTTCGTCCTCCTTCTCCTCCTTCCTCCTCCTCCTCTTCCTCTCCTCTTCCTCCTCCTCCTCCTCTTCCTCCTCCTCCTCCTCTTTCTCCTCCTCCTCCTCCTCCTCCTTCTCCTCCTCCTCCTCCTCTTCCTCCTCCTCTCCCTCCTCCTCCCCCCTTCCTCCTGGGGCCCGCTCGGGAGCCTCTCGAGGCTTTTGTGGGGTTCTTGTGGGACATTTTGGGGGCCCTATTGGGCAGTCTTGGAGCCCTTTTGGGCCGTCTGGGTGCCATCTTGGACTGTTTTCGGGCCCTTCGCGGGGCCTCGGGGGCCGTCTTGGGGAGATCTTTGGGGCCTCTTGGGCCGTTGTGGGCCCGTTTGGGGGCCCTCTTGGACCGTTTTGGGGCCCTCTTGGGCCGCATTGAGGCGCTTGGGCCGCTTCATTTTTTAGAATATTGAGAAACAGCCATGGGAGCCGCCCGGGAGCCGCTTCAATCGAAAAAACAAGGGAAACGGGCCATTTGGGCCGCTTCACCCGAACAGATATTAAAAAACTGGCCATGGAAGCCGCCCGGGAGCCGCTTCACTCGAAAACAATTAAGGATAACGGACCAGTAGACCATTCTGCCCGGGCCTCGCCCCTCCCCTGGACCCTTCCCTAAAGGGCTTCATCCCACTCAACGTCATCACTCGTGCCTCGTTCTTTCCGTCATCCGGAGTAGCAATGACAGGCTGGTCGTATTGAGAAAGGAAGCATGGAGTCTGTTTGTAATGGTTGGCCTCTGTAGGCCTCCTTTCGAGCCCCGGCTCGTTCAACAAAAACGATCCAGGGCGAATTAACAGTACTCAGGAAGGGGTCGAGAGGTCGATGCACCACGCATGGAAAAATCACGACGTCCGAAGTCTTCATTTTTTGCTGATCCCCCAGATCCGCAGCCTACGTTAAGTGCGATCCTATCTCAAAGTGTCTTGCTTTGACTGTCTGACCGCCTGTTACCTTAAAGGCCTCTGGGATGCCCCGAGGGTCTGAAGTCTATCCCTGGAGACATGCACCAGATGCAGAACTTGGAGATGCAACGTTTTCTGCATCCAGGAGTTGCTTTGCAGAGTGGGCCACGCGGTGCCGATAGGTAGCGCAACTCGTTCTGTCAATATGTTGAGTGTGAGTGGCGTGCGTCGCGTGTGCGAGGGGTACTACAGATCATGCTCTCCGAAGGGGGGGGGGGGAGACGGCATTGCCGAGCGTCTCCGCCCCGGTGCCAGTCCCGACCTCCAACGTTCAAAGAAATACGGTCGGAGGTGTTTCCCCCCCCCGTCCCCCTACTGATGGTCGGCCTCTTGGGGCCCTTTTCGGGTTCTGGGATTTCGGAAAGGTTGTGGGGGACGAAAGCCTGGTCCCCGCGAAGGGTTCTGGAGCTCCGGGGGCTCAGTGCTGAAAAAGGCAACGCTGGTTTGCGGTCATCTTCAGGGGGTGAGCAGACCAGTTGTCCTCGGCCACGCCAGCTGAAGAAGCAGCGCAGGCAGCTTATGCAAGAGGCCGTTGGTAGAGGGCCAACGTGGCGGCAAAACCAGCAGCGCGATCAGCCCAGGTTGGGCTTCGTCGTGATGAGCTCGATCGAGGAGGCGGAGGCCCGCACGCGCATGTAGGGTCTTGCGATGTTTGGCGCAGGGGGGGGGAGGGGGGGGGCAATGTGTGGGCAATTACCCAATCTCTCCCTCGCCTCCTCCTTCCCTCAAATATCGCTATCTTGACGTAGGTATTGGCATTGCTGGCGTCAGGACTTACTCCATCTGGAAGAAAAACTCATCGTCACAGTATATATCCTATGGGTCTATGTTCGGTCAGGCTCTTTGATCCTCTCCCCCTTCCACACAGGGGGCTGTGGGAGGGGGTACAGGTGAAATGTAGCCAGCGGGCTCTTCCTCGAGCGTTCGCCCAAGGCGTCAACTTCGCCAGCGTCCGCAGCGAGAGGGAGAGAGAGAGAGTGTGTGTGTGTGCACAGATCGTGCAACAAAAGGCACAGAAAATCAGCTTGCGCCTGTTTTCCTTGATGGTTGCGGCAGGCAGCTCAACTGGCGAGCTCCACAGCGACGTGTACAGTCAGGACGCTGAAGTGAGGAGCAGTTCGGGTTCGGCGGGGGCTCGCTGTTCCTCAGGCCCTTCCACGGTTGTTCCTCCAGCGCCCCTCGTACGCCCAGGCGCTCCTGGGGCCAGCACGGTGCTTCGTTCCTGCGTGCCCGAGCTGGGGCTCTGCTCGCAGTCGGAATTGCAGGCGCAGCGCGGCGGCTTCTCCCCTCGGCCCCTCCCGTCCGCGGGGGCTTGTGCGCCCTGCAGTGCGAAGGCCCTCGGTGTATAAACCCTCGTGATTGGTCATCGGCATGTGAATGCAGATGCGCATGCCCGTGCGCAGAAGCAGCTACAGCAGCAACGAAGACTTCACATGCTGGCCACTGCCCCTCCTGCTGTCATCCTTGGTTCTGGCCTGGGCGCCCCAGAGTCTGACGAACATGCGCATCCCGCGGTGGACCTTGGCTTGCACGTTGCCGATTGCGATGCCCGTCTGTCAGTCCTGGACTCATTCCCCCCGTCCCCAGCGACTCCGCGAAAGGTAAAGCGCTCCTGTGCAATCGCTGCGCTTGTTAAGTCGCGGGCCTTGCGGGCAGGATCTCCGCTGTCTGGCTGTCGGTCACGGTTCTGCCATCCATCATGTCCTGGACGAGCCGTGCCGTCAGCACCCTCGCGAGGATGAGCAGGCGATGCGGGGCCAGGAAGGCTGCCCTCCTGGTCTTCGGCCCAGGCGTCGCCCTTTCCTGTTTTGCCGCCGACTTCGACGTCCAATGTCCGTCAACATTCCCGGAAATGTCTGCACTCGTACCCACGGGAGGGGTTCGAGGTGCGCTTGCAGGTCAGATTGCCAGGGTCTGCTCAATGGCTTCACGGCGCAACATGAGCGACGCGCCACAGGGGGCTCTACCGCGCGGACATTCGCGCGTGAGCGGCTCGCGTGAGGGTCGTGCGTGAGCACCCTCGTTTCTACGTGGTGCGCTGCGCCGGCGACCCGTGTAAGCCTTCGCGTGAGGTCGCCGTGTCCTCGCGCGCAAGACCTGTTTTCTTCAGCGCTCGAATTGTGCCGACGCCGCCATCGTCACTGTTCCTCGGACTGCCACTGTCTGGCCCTGACCCAAGGTGGGGCCCCCTTCTTAGCTGAGCGGTGCCATCGTACCCAGCTGGTCGCCGAGGCGAGGGGATTTCCCACCCCGTGAAACGTCGCGGGGTGGATACGCACGCAGGGTGCAGGTGGAAACGCGAGGTGAGACAGGGTCGTCGCCGCACCCGCTGAGAGGAAGCAACACGCGAAAAGTTCAGTGCCCCAGAGACATCCAATGCGGCGCTCAGCACACGATATATATTTATATTTATATATACATATATACACACACTTTCGGAGGTCTGCGCAGATATCTTGGTGCTGGACCCCCCTTTCTGGCGCGCGGAGCGCGCCAGGGGCGGCGCTCTGATCCAAGAAGTCCGCGTGCGTCTCGGAAGATTCTTGCTTGTGCACTTGTTTGCTCCTTGATCTTGTGACCCCACCTCTGGCCCTACCCCGCACCTTTACGCCCCCCGTCCCACCCCCCGGGTTCAGACGAGGAGATCCTGAGGGCCGGGGAGAACCAGGTCGTGAGCGGGGTGGAGGTGCTCGTGCGCCCCTACGAGGCCCGGGCGCCCTGCCGTCTCCTGGATTCTCGCCGCGGATGTCGGTGGCTTTTGTTTCGCGACCGCTTCTTTATTGGTTCGCTTCGCTTGCAGTCAACCCGCATAATAAGGATGTGCAACCTTCCCAAGGGTACCCTTGCATCCTTGCCCGTTCGACCCACCCTTAGCGACTTTCGCTTGCCGCACCCCGCTCGAAAAGCTTCGGAATGGGCGTCCAGGGCCCTTGCATCCTTATCGCGCGTCCTTTTGATACGGGCCGACTGTATTCTGCCAGCCCGTATTGTGCCATCGTTGCCGCGCGCCCGTCTGGTCGAAGCAACTCGGAATGTCTTCGGGGGCGACCTGGGTCCCGCCATCGGCCCGTTGGCAAGTTGGGCCTGCGAATTTGTCGAGCCCTCGCGCCGCCAGGAAGGCATTGCCCCTGACGGTTCACGCGCTTGTTCGTGTTCATCTCTTGACGTGCTGGGGCAGGGACTCGCTGTTGCAGGCCCGCACGATCGGCAGGGCCTCCGTTACGTTCGCCATGCTCGTATCGTGTCATTCCCAGATACGGCGTTCCAAACATGTTCTCGTCTCCGACGAATCGAAGAGTTGATATCCTACCCTGGGCGGAAGCCAGGCGGGGGCGGCTACGCCAGCCGAAGTTGGCGTGGGGCTGGCGAAAGCTCCCCCAGGAGATCTGTATTTTGGTGGTTCAGGGTTCTGCTGGAGCGGTCCAGATAGACCAAGCAGTTCAGTTTGTTCTGATGCTGATGTCGCGGTCACTGCAGAAGGACGCTGGGCTCAGTCGGGGGCAGATGAAAGCGATCACGGCGCTGGTCCCCAGGTCCGCGCCGCCAGCGAGAAGGACTCAGTCGGCAAGGACGACCACGAAGACAACTTGTTTGCCGGCGCGTGA